GATACGTCTGTGTGTGGTGGCTCTTGATGCACTGACTCCAGCCTCAGTCCACTCCTTGAGAAAGTCCCCAGCACTTTTGAATGGCCTTTTCCTGACAATCCTCTCCAGGCTGCGGTCATCCCTGCTGCTTGTGCACCTTTTTCTTCCACACTTTTCCCTTCCACATAACTTTCTATTAATATGCTTTGATACAGCACTTTGGGAACATCCAACTTCTTTTGCAATTACCTTTTGAGGCTTTCCCTCCTTATGGAGGGTGTCAATGATTGTTTTCTGCACAACTGTCAGGTCAGTAGTCTTTCCCATGATTGTGATTCCTACTGAACCAGACTGAGAGGCCATTTAAAGGCTCAGGAACCCTTTGCAGGTGTTATGGCTTAATTAGCTGATTAGAGTGGGACACTTTGAGCCTAGAATACTGCATCTTTTCACAATATTATAATTTTCTGAGATTGTGGATTTGGGGTTTTCATGAGCTGTAAGCCATAATCGTCATAATTATGACAAATCACAGCTTGAACTATCTTGCTTTGCATGTAATGAGTCTATTTCATATATTAGTTTCACCTTTTAAGTTGCAATACTGAAATAAATGAACTTTTGCACAATATTCTAATTTTTCGAGGTTCACCTGTATATACAAAATCGTTTGTGGACTCTATAACTTTCCTACAGACTAAATAAAATAATTAATTTGGGTTATTTTCACCAAAGAAACGTAGCAGTATACATTTTGGCCTAAATTTATGAAGAACAATTATTTATTTGCAACATTTTATAACAGAATAAAGAAAAACTTGTTTTTTTTTTTTCATTTATTTAGCAAAAAAATAAAAAATCCAGTGTTGATCAAATACGACCAAAAAAAAAGCTCTAGTGAACAATATGAGAAGCATTTAGTTTGGGTAGCATGACCGCGCAAATGCCACTCAAAATATGACAGCACTGAAAGCTAAAAACTGGCCTGGGCAGAAGGGGGTAAAAGTGCCCTGTATTGAAGTGGTAAAAAAAATGTGTTGAAAGTAAGTGTTTTTAAGAGTTATAGTATTTTCTTCTCCTACACCTTTTCCATAAAAGGTTTTTTTTTTCTTTTTTTTCCTTTATCTTCTTTTTTTTTATTTTTTTACTTTTAGTTATTCTTTAACCCTTTCTATGCCAGGCCCTGCACTCTACATTTAATCACTGGTGGCTAGACCATTTTTGCAATTTTTCCCTTTTTTCATGTTGTACTTTTAAGACTGTAAAATAAATTGTACTGAGAAAATATGTAGGTGTATCTCACTGACCTTTCCCCCTGTATATGCATGTTGCCTTTGCTGACCTCTCCCCCTTTACATTGGTGTCTTTTTATCTGATCCAGAACAGACCCAGAAAGCAAATTTGAAAGTCTGATTTCTTCTGATTTCGTTAGCTGCATGCCAATTCTTTGTCAATTTATGAAGTACTGAAGTTAGAGACAGCTAGAAAACTAGTGTTTTCAGAATGAGATCAACTATGGCAGGAATTGTGTTTATCTCATTTTAACCTTTCTTTCAGCAACATGCAGCACACAAAAACCTGTTATAGGGCAGAGCATAGTGATGTGAATGGGCTCTAAATTAGGAGAATAGGAAAGGAAAACAAAAGTGGAGTAGGTGCATGTTAATCGGTTAGGTTCATTTTATGGAAAAAGTAAACAATAATTCTAAATGGTATGTGTAATTTTTCACCCTTTGTTTTCATTCTCTTTTCTCTAGTTATAATGATGCAGCCTTAAAAGTAGTATAAAAAAGTGAGAAGAATGAATATGATCTGAAAAGCATTAATGATGTTATTAATTTTTTATGGACCAATATACCCAAGAGTTGGCTAAAATGAACAAAAAGCCTTTCAAAAAACAGGGAAAAGTCCTGTATAGCCTTCTTAACCTCCCTAGCGGTATGATTATGTCAGTATTTCTGTGCTCAAAGCGATACTTTTTTTGCATGGAAATAGTCGTTTTTTTATTGTAGGCCTGTCATTCTTAGGAATAACTCACTGAAATCTGTCCGAGCAAGAGTCTAGTAAACATCCCAGGTATGATAAAATTTGAAACACAAAATCATAAATTATAATATAATAAATAATCATAAAAAATAATACAATAATAAAAAATTTAATTCGATAATGTAATCAAACCAAAAACACTGAACTTTGAAATAGAGGGCCAAGTTTGCACATCACTGAGCTCAGTCGCAAAATTGTTTTCAGTGGCTGATGACGAATTTCCCCATGAATAATTATCGCTCAATTCTGCAAGTGGTTCTAATTTAATATCACTGTTTTCTAGCTGGTCTAAAACCACTTTTGACCTAAAGGGATGCTTTTTGGATGCCATGGACGTTTCTCAGTTTCCAGGCAGAAAGAACAGTAAAAATGCAGGCCGGGCACAGGACAAAGCACTAGGGACAATATGTATGGGAACTGGTTTGATACAGTAATGTTTTACTATGTGATTTTAGTGTATTTAGTGAATGTCACTCTTTAACTTTTTTAAATTTGCCGCCGCCGCCCTGTACGTCCCGATGCTCGCAGAGAATGGAACCCGGAAGACGGATGCCGGCATCGTCCAGAGGAGATGGCCGGAGACGCTGCACGGGGGACATTGTAGGAGTGAAGGACAAGGTAAGTGAAACAGGGAATCCCAGAGCAATGCTGCAGGGTAATCCCGAGTGTAGCTCGGGGTTACTGCTTTTGGTACTGAAAGTTAACCCCGAGCTAAACTCGGGAATACCGCCAGGGGGGTTAAAACGTATTTCTCACTTCAATCCCAACTGCTGGTTTACAACACTGCTGCAGTCTAACATAGAAGCATTTATTTCAAACTCATACAGCTGTTTTTAGGTTTGATGGTCATCAGGCCTGTTAACCACCATTAGAGCAGTGTATGTGTATGAAAACCATGGCTTCCCTAGACTAGGGCCAAGGAATAACAGGTAGTATAACCAAGCAGGTTATAGTGAGATGAGCTAAAAGGAAACAAAAAGCCAACCATTATTGTGAAGCACTACTGCTATGGAGCTTCTTATGAAAGCCTAACAGCAGCTGACATTGTGTAACTTTGATAATCAAAATCCCTGTTTTGCATTGTAGTTTATGAATAAATAATTTTAAATAATAGTAAGCTTAAAAAAAATGACAACCAATTAGAGTTTTCACTCTAAAGTTTTAATCTAACATAAAAAATGCAGAGTTGCATTTTACGCTGTCTATATTGTTTTATATTCTATATCCTTTCTGATTTATCACTGCAGGCTTACACCCGTTTTAATATTACTATGCATTAGCAGAACACCATATATATTAAAATATGTTATCAATCAATAACCTTAGTATTGCACTTAATATAATGCTCAAAATTGATCTTAGATAATGCAAAATACCTTTTGTCCTTAGACTTCCTTTGTCTTTGAGCGATATTCTGGGAACTATTAATATGTAACAATTTGTTCAATAAAGGGCATCCATAACTTCATTTGAATTGTTTTCAAAGTTAGAAATGTATAGCTGAATATATTGAAGTGCTTTTCTTTAGCCATATGCATTGATATGATGTGTGTTCTAAGAAATGTTCCTACATGAAATACTGTAAAAATAACACATACTTGTGTAACTATAATTGTTATGTTATGTCTTTTCTCCTGGTGTGATCTCCCAGTAGTCTTTCACTATTGAGCTTTCTACATTTCCTGATACAGCTTAGTATTTTACAGCACACATCCGCAACACTGAGTAAAGTTGCATAAAAGGGGCACATTTGTGGTAATTAGCTACAAGTAATTTGACATTTCTCTCAAGTTTCTTCTTCAAGTTATTATTTTGCTAAATATTTGTATTAAACTGGTAAAAATGTTAGACCCCAGTGAAGTTCAGGAACTGCTACTCAAGGAGTTTCTTGCTTGATTGTATATTAAAAGTGCAAGTAAACTGTAACTATACAACATTAAGTTTGAGAAAGCACTGTGATAAACAATTAATGTTTATAAAAAATGTTTTTATATTTATATAAATAGATATATAAAATTTGCTTTTTTTTTTTTTTTATTTGTGTTTTTGCATCTCAGTGATGCAAATCTGCTGCAACTTCTTTGCAGTCATCTCCACTCCGCCTTTCTACTCTAAATTTCAGTGATAGCTGAATGTTATTGCTCAGAGAGGGTTCTAGTGCAAAAGTGAACCATACCAGCACAATGAGTGGCTGCATAGTTGCATACAGCCTTTATATAATATGTCAGAGTGACAATGCAAAAGGGCAATTGGGAAACAGGGACAGGATTGTTATCCCATGATAGTGAGTGCCTAAGCAAGGGCCTTCATGGTAGGATTATTAGGTATTTATTTTAATGAAAACAATAGGTTTTAAATCTTTTGACCTCTAGGAGGTTTTACCCGCTTCATGACCAGGGCATTTTTTTTTGCTATTAAACACTGTACTACTTGGGCAGGGAGCTTATCCCAATATGGAAGCCTTATTCAAAAAAAGAGGACCCTAGTATACCACCCCCAGCTGTGAATCAACACCCCTACACATTAACAAAAAAGTTAGCAGTAAACAGATACACTGACTTATTTTTGACAAGTCTTTTTATTTAAAAACAACCATTAAAGGTTCCACAGTGTAAATACTTTATCAATCACATTGTCCAGTGATGCATTGTCATTTATAATGTTTGATGCCCACCGACTCGCCATAACATAAAACCATGGACAGATCCGATATCATTGCTCACTTACTGCAAATGACATCTCCTGGTCCCAGTTACTAAATGCAAACAAAGGGGCGTGGTCTCCCTGGTGATATCATTGACCAAATATGGACATGGGTGCGTACTTAATTTTATAGCTCATCTCTATTTCCTCACTTCCTGTCCCAGAGAACATTTTCACCAGACAGAAAGTGAAAGAGACTTTTAACCACTTCCCCGACCGGCCGTTGTATATAAACGGCCGGACGGTGGCACTGCAGGGTCGGGTGGCCGTCTATAAACGGCCTCCCCGCACCCTGCTTGTGTGCGCTCCCTGGGAGCGCGCAGCACCGCGATCCGGTGCCCGCTGTGTCCTCCGGACACAGTGAAACACCGATCGTCGGGCGGGACCTCTGTACGAGGTCCCGATCATGTGATCACTGATTGGCCAATCAGTGATCACATGCAAAGTAGTAAGCAAAGTAGTAAGCAAGATGTCACTTCTGACATCATTGCTTACTATGTGTGAAATCTGTGAATGATCACAGAGGTCACATGGTACAAGGCTATTCACAAAAGCCTTGTACCATGTGACAAGCTGTGACCAATCACAGCTCACTCAGTTCTTCTCAATGAGTGCAAGAATGCACACAGAGAGAAAGAGAAATGATTGCTTTTACATCCTATATGGGTGTAAAAGCAATCAGTGTAAAAAAAAAAAAAAAAAAATCTTCATCACCCCTCACAAGTAGTACAGTGTCACCATGGTAATAATGGACCAAAGATATGTGTTGGAGGAGGAGAAGGAAGAGGATGGTGGAGGGGGGAGCTCCTCTTATACACTGCACCGCCTGACATGAGAGAGAGAAGACCGAGCAGCGGGAGGACAGATGTGAGCGATATTTGTAAAGCGATTGGAGGTGATCTGGAAGGTAGTTGCTCTGCTGAGGTATCCAGTGTGGTCCCTGAAAGGACGAGGTGACTCCTGAGCATAACGCTTATTATACAACAAGTGAGATGACCCTTGGGGACATTGCAAGGAGGTGAGGGGGCACCCAGACCACTTAAGGATTGTGACACCAGTGGCACTTTCACATTTGCAGAGATATTCACACCATTTGTTTGAAGTGGACTGTTTGTGTATTTACTATCATTGCTTGATTGAGGGGTGTCTCACCTACACGCGTTTGTCATTGTGTTCCTAAGAGGGAACCACTATATTCACTTAGCCATTCATGGCTATATTCCCCCATTGGGGTTATTATAAAGGGAGTCTTGTTTTTATGTTTATTATTTGTTTATTTGTTCATACAAATTTATATATTGTCTATTTTTTTTGCATTAGCGCTACACCAATTAATACTTATATTGTGCATGCTTTTTTGGTCAAAAGGTGGGTGTTAGCAGCTTTCAGTAGGGAATCCATCTAAGTGCAGGAGGTTCTTTATATCATTCATAGAATACAAGTTCCTTGCGAAAGACTGAGAGACGCTCATCCCGACCCAATTTTGTTCCGGGAGTGGGACAGAAAGGTTTTGAATTCTCAGGGGTGGGAGAGTTCACAGACAGCAATAAAATGATTGGACATAAGTATTCTGAGGATAGAAGTGTGCTGTTCAAAACCCTTTCCTAATTAGACTCAGCACAGCACTATTAGATTACCATGGATTCTGCCAACTTGAAATCCTCTCAAAGAACCAGGGGTGGCTGATACTGTACATGGCAATTACTACCCACCCTCCTAAGATCCATGCATGTGCTTTTACTCTACCCCTTGTTCTTCCTGAATAAAGCACCTCCAGAGGTAAAGTGATCTCCTTAAAGATATTTGTGTTGTAGTGCAGGGGCGGACTGACAACTCATGGGGCCTCCGGGCAATAGGGGATCATGGGGCCCCTGTGTCCTTGCCCAAACTCAAAAAAAGCCTATGAAAAAGGTACTAGGGGCATCTCATGAGGCCCCCTACTGCCCCCGGGCCGTGCCCAAGTTTCCAAATGGTCAGTCAGGGGCTGCTGTAGTGTAGAAAGTATGCTTGTCTCTTTTAACTTACTTTATACTGCAGCATAGATAAAATACACTGTTCTAGCAGTACACTAGAGAATCCGACACGTGCTGAACACAGAGTGCAGAAGCCTTCGTTTTCACTGGTCTGATGTGCTTCTTGTCCAGTGCTTCAATCATCAGCACTTATTCTCCCTGGGTAGGATTGTTTATTGGAGCACTGAGTAGGAGGTAAAATGCATCACTGCAGATCTGGGCTGCTGGATTTCGTGTTGTGCAGAGACCTGACTCTCTATCATGCTGCTGGCACAGGTTATTTTAACAAGAGCTGCAGCACAAAATAAAAAAATGAGGAGCATAAGTATTTGCAGCCTGACTACATTATAGTAATGAATATCAAAGTTTCAGTTGGACCTTAATGAATTGTGATGTCAACTTTAAAACTGTACACTAACATCTTCTGTATGTAGCAGGAAAACTCCCAGTCCATTTTTCCTTTTCTCCATTTAAAAATCAAATTAACAAAAAATTTTACTCAATATTCTCATGCTATGAGATTTTTCTGTCTCCATGTCGTGTAAATGCTTTTGACATCCTGTCCTATGGGATTCTAATGTCTGTATTCAGTGCTGTACCAGTTTTTATACTTCAGCACATTTTTTTCCGCTCTGATTGTAAGTAACTTTGTTATATCCTGTCTTTTCAATAAATTTCATGAAACAAACAAAAAAAACATTTTTGATATTCTTGAATTTGTGCAGAACTAATTTTGCAATTCAATCTTTAATGACAACATAACGTAAAATATGATCCATCGCTTACCAAATTTCATTTAAATATCCCTGCTATATTTCTCTTCTCAAAGTACTGTATTGACAATTCCTTTTGCACTGGTTCACTGAAAACAAGAAAACTCAAAAACACTAGAATATGAAACTTACCAACCACTATAGGCTAGTAACTTATAAAGTAAAATTCAGTTAAAAAATGTCTTACAATAATTAACTTACAGCAATTAGATAGGTGGAATTTTTTTTTCATAATATTATGTGTACATGTACAAAATGATTGTTAAAGCACTGTACAATTAAAGGCACAACTATTTTGTTAGTTTTGGATTAGAACACCTTTCAGGTTTTTATTGCTATCTCTGTCCCTGCTAGAGTGAATAACCCTCTCCAATTTTCCTGTTTACCATTATCATTGAAAGTGAATGTAAAAGAAAATCCCAAATTTTGGATTGTCCCCAGAAAAGTAATAGAGGGGAAATCTTCCAATGGGGACACTAGCTCTTGTGACCTGGGGGCCCCAAAGATTCCCTTAATTTGCAGGGATTTCCTCCCACTTCCTGTTTTGGTTATGGGACAGGAATAGAAGGTAAATCTCTGAAAATCCAAAATTTAAAAAAAAATGTTTCCTATAGTTGTACTTTAAAGCATTTTATTTAAAACTATCCTCCATGAAAGCCATTAGATAATGTGTATGCACACTGTAATCTTGAGGAGCCTGAGATCATCAGCCAAGCACATTGGTAAAAGGAAAGCAATCTTTCATTTCTAAAAAGAAAAACAAACAATCTTGCTTGTAGCATAAAATAAACAAAATAGTACACATTTCTGGTAAAAATCAAACTTTTTGGCTTATCATCCAAACAACTTTATGTTCTGTCTCAGCCTGCCATAGGGGCCCAAAAGGCCGTGTCATCACCAGCTTAGCCATGTCCCAATCACAAGCAGTCCACCACCCTTGTTTCCATGTGTGCTTTGCTTCGTACTGCATTTCACAGACACCTGCTGTGTTTCAAGACTCCCTTGCAAGTAGTTTAAACCTTTCAGTACTCCTTTTCATCAGGGTTTGGAAGCTCTTTCTCACCTCTAAGTCTATCCAGACCCCTAAATTACAGATCCTAAATGAGGACTTACCATTACAGTAAATCAATTCTCTCTTCTCTGACTGGATTACCCTAGAACCCCTCACTCTGCATGGATGAGAACCACTGAGTACTAAAATGTCTCTTGTCATCCCCCTTAAAGGGTCCTCAACCATGGGGAAACATACCTGTCATCCAGGACACACTCCGCACATACTGTAAAACACCCAGAAACTCTTTAACTGCAAATTATAACAGTAACAACACTTCCTTCTGTTGACTGACAACATTATGACATTGCATTGCAATTAGCAGTAATGTTGTTAGCCTGCTGTGCGATCTCCTTCATTTGGCTTTTGAGATGTCTAATTGGTCTATCAGACTGGCAGACTATTTTGTAATTTAAACCTCTGCAATTGTTTCAAACTCACAATTATTTCTTGTGGTACTAATAAACACATATTTTGGGAGTGTGCCCATCTTTCCCCTTTCCATGGTGGAAAACTTCTGAGATTGCCATAACTATAGTGGAAACACATGTTGATCTATCTATGCCAATATGCCTTCTAGGTGCTCCCATACTGGGTGTGTCACATGGGAGGGTGAGATTGATCCTGTCAGGGATCTGGGTATGACCAGAAATGTGTGGACTGACAAAGGGAAGTAGCAGGCTTCAGGAACACAGGTGTAGTCAGGGCTGGAGAGGTGGAATGGTCAGGCAGGCCGTAAGGTACTGTCAGGCACTGCCCGGCGGGATCTCTAGTGACCCACAGAATGGGATTCCCCAGGGCGCGGAGTCTAAGCCCCAGTCTGCCTTTTCACCAGAGCCCCTGATGGTGGGGATGGACTTGGCGCAGGACTGAGACCAGGTCGCGGCCCCTGAGTGCACCCAACTGTGGTAGAGGGTTCCGCCGAGGGTATGTACCGGGGGAAAGCCTGATGTGAAGGGGCTGGCAGGTTCGGACAGTAGTGACTGGATCTGTGCAGGATGGATGGATGACAGTATGGAGTGTAGCGTAGTCAAACAAGCCAGGTCGGTAACGATGGAGGCAGATCAGTACAGAGCAGCAGTCAAAGAGTAAACGGGTCACGAGCCAAGGTACAGCAACAGGAGGTCAAGCAGCATAGGAGTAGGCAGAAGAATAGTCAGGGACGAGCCAGGAGTCAGAGCAGGAGATGGTCAACAGGAATCAGGATCAGGCAGGGTCGGCAACAAGGTAACTTCTCTCAGGAACAGATGCACAGGGAACAAGATACAGGGGCTCATGGGAAAACACCAAGGCACTGATCACAGGCCTGGTCCTGCTTAAATACACCTCCTGCAATCAGCTTCAGGTGATGGCTTGATTGCAGGAGTGCGATTCTGGCTGCTGAGAGCACCCGCTGGCCAGCAACAAGGTAACTTCTCTCAGGAACAGATGCACAGGGAACAAGATACAGGGGCTCATGGGAAAACACCAAGGCACTGATCACAGGCCTGGTCCTGCTTAAATACACCTCCTGCAATCAGCTTCAGGTGATGGCTTGATTGCAGGAGTGCGATTCTGGCTGCTGAGAGCACCCGCTGGCCAGCCTTGGTACTGCAACCCACAAGCAGGTGAGTCCCACCACCATTGGCGAGTCCATTCCTGACAGATCCACACCATTTGTGTATCCATTATTTGGGCGATAGCTCTACACTGGAAATCTGCAGTAGTCCCCTTGTCCTCTATATTAAGGAGAATTGATATAGTCATGCTTATGGAACA